CTTCGTCGGAGCGAATAGAGGAATTGTGGGTTGTGTGTGCTTTTAAAGGCAGAAAATGGAGCTACGTTATCGGTGGGAACATGGCAACGAGAAATGATTTTCATTATAATTGTATATTTCATTCGTGTTTTTCTCGTTGACGTGTTCCCACCAATAACGTAGTTCTATTTTCTGCCTTTAAAAGCACACACAACCCACAATTCCTCTATTCGCTCAGACGAAGGACTAACGCTCGAAACGTCAGCTTTTGTAATCGTTACGGTGGCCAATTTACCATTTCAACTTTGTTGATATATCCAAATTATAAGTTTAAATAACCAGTGGTCCCTCATAACCATGTCCCTCCCTTCGTCCTTCCCTTCGCGAGTCACCAGCGTTACCTGGATACGAGAAAAATATGCCCAAGGCGAGGCCGCTAAGCATCCAATATGGCTACCCGACAGTTCATTAACCTGTCAGTGTTCCAGTGAAGTAATTGCTTTGGGTTAGACGTACTACAAAATGTTCATCGGAAGTCTTGTAGCATCCAGATTTTTAGGTCTTATTGCACACTTTGTGGTTACTGTTGTGATATTTTTATCAAAGGTGAGTTTGCACTCAAATCCAAACGTAAACAGTTCGATCATGTTCATGTTTGCTTGTTTAGTGCACAAGTTTACGGTCACATCAACCTGTGGCTCTAGATAATTCAATCCGTAATCGTTCTTCAAACTCCTTTCAGGACGCAAATGTCAAAGCTTGCCTGCCTCTTCAGTATACAGAAAGCGAATTTTCATCGAAGGACAAAGAGTAAGTGTGTAATTAAAATTCCTTCAAAAGCTGCATTCGATGCAAAATACTTCGGAAATGTTAGGATACTGTAGCCCCTTCGGAATCTCCAAATTCTAATCTGTATCATCACAATTAGATTATAACCAGTCTTTTCGTAATTAATTTCGATGTAGTTGTTGTAATTACGATAGCAATTATTAGAAATCTAATTTAAAAGTATATTTAACGTTCAAAATGGAAATTCTTGACCCTTTGATCTGTGAGTGACTGACATCTAATTTCTCCTTACAACATCACCCTTGAATCACACTTTAAGGTGAGGAGAATAAAGGAAATGATCACCGACCAAAGCCGTTGATTGCTGAACAAATTCTCCTTGTCAGCACCTTAGGAAATGTATAGAGAACAGTATGGAGAATATGCATACTGATGTTAGGGTGTTGATGGTTAATCAACATGATGTTGTACTAATGTTTCTTGTATTTTTTCTAGGTTGATTGTGGGTTTGTCCCTTACTCTGGTGTTTCTTGGCTTAGAGTTTGGTGGATTTATTGGGGGTTGCTCCATGTTCAATGGTACTGCTGGCATGCTCTGTATCCTTCTTGTAGGAAGATGGAGTAATTCGAAATTTATCAGCTTAAAGCCTCCACTTTTCCCCTCAATTGCAACAATATACCTAGGCTTGCTAACAAGGTGTTGTTTAGGCCATGGGTCATTGCCACCTTATTCTTTCAAACACCAAACCTGAGAGAAGAGAAAAAAATCTCTTCTCTGAAACCAATTACATTAAAAAAAAAAAAATGGAATTCTGAAAGCAGTTACTTTTCAGTAAAGATGTGTGTATTTACAGTTGTGATAATTTGAGGAATATTTTTCTGGTTTGGATGTTGACTTACCAATTCTTAACTTAGACTACTTCTTAACTTAGAAAGTAGGGTCTGTACTTTTCAAGCACCTCACTAATGCAGCTCCTGCAGTGTGGTAGGATCACTGTCAAGAGTCCCCTGCGACACATCAACATCAAATTTTTTTTTTCACTGATTTTCTTTTTGACTCCTGCAACAGACTTAGTCAAAAAGGAGGGACCACTGGTAGTAAAATACTTTTAAACAAAGTAGCAAGGGATTGGGTTACTACCTCTTAATTTTTCTTAACTAACAATTCAGCCATTGCAGCTCATTCAAGTGCAGCAATTTCTCTTTCCATGTTTGTTCTTGAGGAGTGGGATTGTGATAAGTTTTGGTACATTTTTGGATTCTGTAGGTGGGTAAAACATTACGGATGTAATCATCATCACAAGTTACTTTCTTCTAAACTTACTGTATTTATGAATTTCAAAAATCAAATAATGGGGGGGCTCAAATCTCCAAATTTTTCATACAGAAAATCAAATCAAAATGTCAAGTATCCATGTACTTTGGTAATATCAACTAAGTTGAAATTTATAAACGTATTTGTACAGGATCCTCGCAGTAAAGAGCACTATTTAAGCAATAGTGAAAATCAGACCTGAAAAAATTCAGGCCTGTACGGGATTCGAACCACTGACCTCTGTGATACTAGTGCAGTGCTCAACCAATTGGCCACCATAAAGAGTTAATGGAAATGATTACCATCTAAAAATTCTCCTTATCTGCCACTTAGGAATTATATAAAGAACAGTATGGAGAATATGCATACTAATGTCAAGGGTTAATTTGTAGGTGTAAGACTTAAACTTAGTGTTCTTTCAGATTTTAAGACTATGTGCTCCAATACAATAATTTCTGTATTTATGTTTTAGTTTTATTGTATTTTGCAGTGCTTTCCCAGCTGTTATGGAAATAGGTGTTTTGATAAGTGTCTTGGTGTTTCGAGCTGACAGATAACTAGCAGTTTATAAATATCTAGTCATTATTATAAGCTGAGGTAGCTGGTCATTTCATTCTTCATTCTCTCTTTACTTGTGATGAAAGACATCAAAGGTTGTAACTAATATGCAAAGAGATGCACGTCTGGTATGGTAGACATCATTTTATACTTAGTTCTTATTAGTTATTAGTTATTATTACTTAGTTCTCCCAAGCGGGAGGTCTGTATGGGAGAATCTTGAACAAGGTCGCCAGTACAGACCGAACACAGAGAGGTCTGTACCAGCGACCGAGGTCAAGATTCTCCCATACAGACCGACCTAGCTTGGTTAATAAGATGTTTATTATATGGCTGTGTCTAGAAAGCAACATAACATTATATTCTTTAACTTTTTTTTCTAGACCGGTCTAGATTTCGGTCTTGATGGGAAAATCTAGACCGCTTTCAATATTGATTTCAGCCAATAAAATTCGTGAATCCGGTAGTTCCCAGTCCTTGTGAGACACAGCCATATAATAAAGGAATTTATCCAACCCTTACTGGGAGCTTGAAGGTGAAAAAAAAAATAGCTTATTTGTGTCTCCCATCCCCCCCCTCAAAAAAATAAAACTTTTATAATGTAATATAGTTTGATAATATTAAGTTAGATACCAAAGCTAGTTAGTTCCCAGTCATACACAGTTGGCTAAAAATAATATATTTATCAATAAAGCTTACAGTTGTGCTTACATAGCTAAAAGTTGTGAATAATAAGTTAATTTTATTCAAGATGGCTTGGCTTGAAATATTACACCTTGAGTAAGTTCCATTCAAAATGTACAATGAGTTGTGGAAAATAAAATAAAAGTCGTGTATATTTCACTCTAAGCGATGTTCACAATCCCAAAAACCAAGCTACTTCTTCCTTCAAATACAAAAATCTGCAAAATACCACAAAAATGAACATCACCACTTTTATCATCTGCTATGAAAGGCAACCTTATCTTCAGAATCAAGAGTTCTTCTTGCATCTTTAAGAAGCAGTTGTGAACAGTCCAACATGTGTGTGATTTCTTCTTCAGTGGGGTTGGCATGAGCCTTCCATCGTATTAACCCATTGCAATCAACTAGATAGGCATGTCCCACAATTTCATTCTCCATGAATTTCTTCTTTATGGGCTTCAAGTTACCGCTAAAGAAGAGGTAATTATCCTGTCGAAATTAAATGATAAAAAAAGATTAGTTCAATCAAAAGACATTGAACATGACTTGGAGTTTTTTCTTAAAAGGAGATAATATCTTTCCTCAAATAAGTTTCCTTTCCTGAATAACCACACACCTTGTAGGAGTGTCCCATGTTACATAAGCACCCAGGCACTTCAGGCAACTTTTGTTGAAATTTTAATACCAGTAAATATATTCTTGACTTGCCATGGCCACCAAAAAGGTCACAGCTTGGGGTGCCACACTTATTCCAGGAAATACAGTATAATAATAATAATAGTAGTTTATCAAACTCTCTTGCAGTAACTTACTGAATTAACGAGTTATGATACGATGAAAACTTTATAACAACGACTACATACGTTTCTGCATACATTAAGTACAAGTTATATACACCACATGGAACATACATCACATTTGTTAAAAATACTTAAAAGTTAAAAAGTCTTCACTACGCTTCGTTCTACAGGTAATAACATTTCTGTAAAGATACAACTGGTCTGATTTGTGCCTGAGGTTATAGGGACAGGTATCGTCTAAG